TAAAGATGGTTGACTGATAATTTAATTTGGGACCAGGTAATAAAGATACAGCCAGGAAGACTAGTCCCTCAGGCTCACACATTCCCAGTTAAAAAATATGTGTCAGCATCTGCTAGAGTGGCAACTGCTTAGTGAGACTGTAAAGAACCTTCCTATTCAACCACAACGTAGAACAGTTCCAAACCTGTACAATAAAGGATAATTTGAATAGATGGATTTATTTTTCTTGTATTCATTACAGCATGTTAAACTGGTTTAAGAAATGCTTCATTTTTCTGGTCATAGTGGTCACGTTCTCAGAAAATGCTACTCAAAAATCATGCACATGTTGGAAGACAACAAACTCACATCATTCTTTCCCATTTTATGCCACATTTAGCTGGATTCTGCTTTTTTTTGTGAAGTCCCTGTTCTCATCTTGTGCTATCTACTGTGCTAAAACTCACTAAAAAACATACTAAGAAGGAAATTTCTTTCTCCCACCTCCTAGAAGTTTGACTGTGGTCTGTAATGAATTACAACTTCTAGTGCATTAACAAAGGGAACGCTGAGAAAATGTCAGTGAGAGACACTGTCAGCAGGAGGGGAAAAGATCTTCTTGAAACTAAAATATACATATGATCAATTGTGTATCTCTTCTTTTTAAGCTGCAACCCGTTAGTGTTATATTTAATTATGGTTTGATAACAGAAGATAACCTTATCTGTAAGAGCCTTGCAATTAAACTTCCGTTAAGTATTTTTTCACCTTCAGTCATTGCCTGAAAAGAAGTCTGAACCTGAAGAAGTCACATACAGTATATTTCAGAAGGTTATTTTTCAATATAATCTGATCCAGGCCCACTGTGCCAAGTACCAGCAAAGTGGAGATGTGGAGGAAAATTAAAATCAACTTGGCTCTGACTTTTCAGCGAGCGAGCCATTAATAACAAGAAGTGACACTGTGACTCTGTTAAAATGATACAAGATTGTCACAAGCCATCACCTAAAAGACCATTTGGTTTGGTCCTTGCTGAACTGGACAAGAAGGACATGGAAGAGTCACTTGAGACAAACGTTTGGCCAAAAAGGTGATGAGTCCTCACTGGAGAACTCCTTTCCTGCAGCCTCAGATCCATGATGCAGTGCTTTTGATGATGTCAGTAATGTGCTGAGGCAGTGACACAAATAAGCCTACAAAGGTTAAATAATTCTGGAATTAATCATAAAACATCTCAGGATCAGGGCAGTTTAACAAGAGAAGAGCTGCATGCAAACAAAGCACTCAGGAAATACAGCTGTAAAACTGGAGATCCTTTTTCCCAGCAGAATTACAGCACCAGTGTCCCATCCCACTCCTGCCAACATGGGAACTGCTCTCCTTTTCTCAGTGCTTCCACACAGTTTGAGGACCTTCATCAAGTAAACAGCACAAAGTATTTTCTCCTACATCATGATGCAACACAGCAGGATTGCTAAATCATGACAGACAACATCATCAAAAACAGCCCAACTTGGTGGAATACAAATCTGAGTGACAACAGCAGCCACCCTGCCCTACAATCCCACTGTAAGACATGGACAGAATAAAAATAACTTCTTTTGATCCTCCCTGGAATATAAGTACAGCACTGAGCCTGTATTGCAGCAGGTCCAGTACAACACATTTTGATTTACGGATTACACAGGATCAGTGGGGAACTCCCTGGATCCTGCCATAATAACCCAAATAATTAACAGGGAAATCCTCTAATATATGGGCAAAACTTAAGACCTTATAATATATTTAAAAACAAGAGAAGCAGCATCCTTTAAAAGAGAGAAACAAGGAATAGTTCACCTTATTCTATGTGAATAGAATATATACATTATTGATGTTTGCCAACTACAGCACAACACTAGAATTCTTCAGTGAAAGATGAAGAGCTTGAACAAATAAAGAAAATCAAAGGAAACTGGAAACTGACAAGCCTGATTCAAGCGGTTTCAAGAAGAAATGATACTAAATATAAGACCACGAACACACCCATCTTGCTTCTCAGCAAAGAGTCTAGGGAAGCAAAATTCCAAGTGTTTTACTATGTTAAAAGGCTGGGTGTTTCGAATCACACACAAAGAACACATAAACGCCTAGTATTGATACAGAGACGGAACACGCTGCAGACAAAGGCTACCTAGCAGATGGAAGGAGAGAATAAACAATTAACCAGGAGAGCAGCAACCCACCCCCACGGCCGAGCCGGGGGTCGCGGGTCAGGGACAGCCCGGGGACAGGAGGGGAGGGAAAAAAAAGAGAAAAACACGGAGCACAGACACGGGGCGAAGGCAGAGCTCTTCAGGATCGTTCCCCGCGCACCGTCGGGCCCGGCCCGGCCCGGCGCCCCCTCCCCGCGGGCCCGCCCGCCCCCTCAGGCCCCGGCCCCGCGCACTCGCCTCGTCCGCGCTCAGCTCCTCCATCGCCTTCCTCTTAATGGTGCCCGGAGGAGGGGCGCGTTCCTCCGCCCCGCCGCGGGGCCGCTCCGAGGCAGCGCTCTCCTGCCGCCGCTGCCCCCCGGGCCGCCTCACAAGGGCATCTCCGGGGCGACCGCGCCGCGCCTCGCCCGCCGGCAGCACCGCCGCCCCCGGCCCGCTCCCCGCCGCCCACCCGCGCCTCAGCTGCCGCCGCGGCCGAGGGGAGGCTGCCCTCCCGGTGCCCCCGCGCCCCTCAGAGCTCCCGGCCCCGGCCCCCGCCCGCCCGCGGCCGCTGCCCCGCGCAGAGATTATTCATCAAAACAACAGGGCGGCGGCGGCCATCTTGGGGATCACGTGACCCCGCGGGGGGCCGGGCACGCCGGGGCCGCGCGCGCGCCGCGCCGGCCAATGGCAGCCGTCCGAGGGGCGGGAGGGGCGGGGCCTGGGCGGGGCCAGGGAAAGGCGGGCCCGGGGCTCGTGAGGGGCCGCGGTTCGTGAGGGGCCCGGGAGAGGCGGGAGCTGGAGCAAGGCCCGGGACTAGGCCCGGAAAGAAAGGGGCAGCTGCCGCTGAGGGACGCCGCGATCCAGGCAGGGTCAAGCTGCTGAAGCCTTCCCTCTCCAGTGGGCCCATAGATATTAACCCCTCCTCAGCGACGCGTCATTAAGAATTCACAGGATCTAATTATTGCGGGCTGACTAACATACCGAGGAAAAAAACAAGATGCCAAGACTCCATTGAGTGCTTGGTCTCGGCCTTTTTTAAGTGTAGTTTGAACATGAGGGGTATTTTACTCCTTATTACAAACTTTTCTGCACGTAATTCCCTCATTATACCACAAAGTTTTGTATTTCTGGAAGATATTAATATTTTCCCTCACACTCGAAATGAAACTCAGCTACAGAAAAAAACAGCCAGGCTACATGTAAGTACATTGGAGGCTCACCCCCAGCTCGCCTTGTTTGAGTTACAATGCACCTAGATGGAAGAGAAAAGGATATTTTAAAGCTGGTCTTTTGGCAAAGGATAAACGTATTGAGGGTTGCATCAGCAAGTTTTTAGCTCAGGATGAGCAGTCACTGATAATGTGACCGGGACAGCGAGCCGTGCACGGGGCAGAGTGATTTGAGTCAGCAGGGGAAAGAATCCCCTAAAAGCTGGATGTTCTTAAGATGGAACTAAACGGATCCATATGAGCTGTTAGGACATATTTTCATACACGCTGCAAATCATTATGTAGCAGTAGAATTGATCCATTTTTTAAATGCAGAGATGAGGCAGGTAGGCTATCTGGCCTCGTGTTTTCATATACATCTTTAATGTACTTTATTGATCTAAATTTTTTTAACAAAACATTTTGATGACTTCACCAGGGTGCTGAGAAGAGAAACCAATACTTGGATCATAATATATATTGCCAGTCTTTTTATAGAATAGATGTACATTTTTATTTTGATTTTTAGATTACACTTCCTTTTGTGTTATCTCCTTGGGATTTTTTTTTTAAGATAATTGGTCTGAAACACCTTTGAATAAAACCCGTCAAGTGCTTCTCTGGGGAGTTCTCTGGTCCTCCAAGGTCGCTGCTGCCTGTCTGTATTGCATCTCACCAGGCATTTTACTGCTGGACCCCACATTTCCCTAACTAATAAGGGAAATAAGTCCTTTAAAAGCTATTAGTATAAAAGCTATTAGTCCTTTTCTTTTTATTTTGGAAACCAGCTTAAATTTACACAAGTCTAGTAATGAGGGGAGGGCGTCAATCTAACCAAAAGCCCTCCATGCTTCAACAGATTTTTGTCTGATGGTGGCTGTAAGCATTTTGAACGGATAAGAAGTATCAGAAAGGTGGTGTTACTTGTTTCAAAATGTCAGGGACTATTTTTTTCCTATTAATAATCAAGTAACTAAGCTTAAGCTGCAGTTCTTCAAGAATATGCAACGAAGAATATGCAGCAACTAATTTCATTTGCAACTACCTAGTTTATCTGACAACTTACATGTTCACACAAGAAAAACGTTTCTATGCAATACTGCACACAGTCATAAAGAAAAACATTTAATCTAATTAACAGTTGTGTGCAAACAAAGCTGAACTAAAGCAGCATTGTTTTCCCTCTGTATATGTGCTTACAGAGTTCAATTATTTTGCAGACTGGAATCTTCATGGATCACTCAGCCCCATCTTCATGGTTCTGGGATTTGACCACAGGCTTGTTTCCCCTGGTAAGCTCAGCTTAATTATTTTTGAGAACAAAGCAGCTCTGGCACAATATGGCACCTCACACTACAGCGTGAAAGACAGGCAGGTAAAGTAGTAGTCTACACCTTAAACAGAAGCATTTTGAAAAATAAATCCACACCTTTTGTTGCTGGCTTCATTATTTGTTATCTTCCCTCCTCTATCCCCATTCCCCCTCTTTTGTTTGCCTCTGAATGCCTCTTAGAATTGGCAGGTTTTCACCTTCTAATTGACTTTTTATTACCTAGAGACCCAGGCCTTATCACTTATGTTTTAGGTGGTTTTTTTTTCTCCAAAAACATATTCAAAAACAAGATACTTAAGATCATTTTGAGGCATTTATTAGCAAAAATGAGACCTTTAACACTGGCAAGAGCAGACTTATTTCCTGAGCCAGAAACTTCAGACCATTGAGTCAGTTCGTGTCCGTAGAGCGCTCGCTGGACACGAGGCTCCTGGGCAGAGCTGTCCCACAGGCAGGACCCAGCACTCCACGCAGATTCAAGCTCTCTTGAAGACCTGTCTGCAGACTTGATTCTCACAACGAAGCTCCTACCAAAAAAAAAACAAACAGAAAACCCAAGAGTGTAGATATCTATAGTAATCAAAGGAACTGCTTCCAAAGCTGAACACAGATCCTTTACCACCACCCTGGCCATGCTAATAACTTACACTTAACATTTGAATTTAACTACAGGTGACAGTGAAACAACGAAGCTGTTTCAAAGCAGAATGGGCTCACAATGTACATCCATTACACATCTTTCCTACCTAGGAGAGCTAGAAGACATATGCACACCACGACCACATTATAAATCTAATTTTCACCATACAGAGATATAATTAGTATTAATATTAGATATAATCTGAAGCCAATACCAGGTGGAGGTCATCCCCTTCGAGCCAGTGAGTCCAGCCCCTGTTCTTCTTCTCACCAGTCTGGACACAGACAAGTTTGTCATTTTCCCAGGTAACGAGGCTCTATAGAACAGGGAACAAAAAGGTGGTTTTGCATGTCTGCCTCGGTTCTGCAAGATACTTGCAGAAAATGTGCATTTTCCTGGATAAAAGAGGACCTAAATATTACCCCTGAGTGAAAGTGACACTCCTTGTCTGTAACTCAGGCTCCTACTGCTGTCTTGCACTACAAACATTATTCTTGAAACAATTTCAGCTCAAGTATCTGGATTGATCACAGCATCTTAATTTTGCCACAGCCTCATATATTCTCTCTTACCTTGCATTTTCTGTTATCCAAGCCTTTATTATCTTCCTCAAACTCTTCTCCAACTTTGAATTCAAGCAAATAATCTCTGAATGTGCTAGTGGTGTGGATATAGAATGAATCACCATCTTGTTTGATCACTTTCTGAGGCTTCAGCATCTTTGCTATTTTGCGTGTTGCAAAGTCAATACCTTGGACAGGAGGCAAAAAACATCAGAGTTGTATTTATCACCAGCCATTCTGGCAGCCAGGAATTAACCTTTATTTCTACCAGAAGCATTTCTTACAGTAGTTTGACCTTACTGCTATGCAGCATTTTGTTCTTTTATTGGAACCTTTTGTTTTGTTTAAAGCTGCATGTTACACAGAGTAAGTTGTCCTCTTGTACTTTTTACTCTTTGAAAATCAGTTTACTCAGTTGTTTTACAACTCCTATGCAACATTTCCAGGATTTTCTGCCAGAAAACTCCTGGAGACAGATGGCTTCCCTCACAGAGACACCCAAACTTGGTTTCAGACTTCACCCCCACTTACCCATAAGAAGTTAATGCCTATCCTCATCCTTTGTCAGAGGAAAGGCAATGAAAGAAATAACAAGACTCTCTTCAAGGCATTCTATACCTTAAATAGGGTGAAATGAAGGGCACTCCTTAAAATTCAAGAAGACCCCTAAGGGAGAAGGGAGGAAGGACAGAAGCAGGTATTTTCACCTACCTAAGGCCACCATATAACCCTCGAAGTTGTCATTGCTGACGAGGTTCCACGTTCCGCTGAAATCCACAGGCATTGCCAGAGAGTAGAAGGAAGATCCAGTCCAAAAGGCAAGAGTAGTTTTCTAGCCAGGCCTTTTATAGGGCAGCCTGTGGGTGGGATTACATCCCAGGACCTTTCTGCTGCAGGGGAAGGGTGCTACTGCCGAGCCAGTGGGTGAGAGGGTATCTGCAGAATGGCTTCAGCTGTGCTGGAGGGAAAAGTTCACCGTGTCTGAAATCTTCGTGTGGAGCAAATGTTAACAGCCCAAGAGCCACAATGCAAGCCAAAAACTGGTTTAAGCCATTTTGTCCATCTTGTATACTTTAAAGGGACTGATTTAGTCATTACTAAGATTTCCTGCAAGTTTATTAGAAGTGGGCTTTATGATCTGAAATCCAGGTATCTGTTGAAAAGGTGATGTACCCCTGTAAAGACAGGCTGGACTTGAACAGACACGGATTGACTGTTAAATTGTGGATTGTATTACATCAACAAATTTTAAAGCAATACCTATGCTTCAGTGTTGGACTTCACCTTCAGCAAAGAAGTGACAAAAATCCCTGATGACCCAGCAATGTGTTTTGAAAAGTGAATAAAAAATGCTTGACTTTGAAGAGAAAGGACTTAGAGAATTTGAAGTGAGGAAATAAGGGATTTAGAGGTGAGGAAACACACCTATACCTACTACATTTATTTATTTACTGACTTGTGTTAGGCTGGATAAGAAGGATAATATTTTGCAGAGAAGTTTCCCCAAAGTTTAGCTCCATTTTTGGAGCTGGCAGTTTGATCCATATGACTCACAGAATCACGCGAGTAGGAACTCGGGACGTCAAAGCTTCTTTCCTGTTTGCAGCTGGATATTGTTCTCTAACCTACACTAAAACAGGAATGGCACTGAGAAATGAAGATTACTGTTTCCTCTTCACTCAAATAGTAACATTTCACCCACAATTTGGTGTTCTGAGGTTATGGTAGTAAAGCACTGTTGCAATACTACTGACTCTTGGAAGCAAAAAGAAGTCAGTACTTGGTAAATCCTGTGCCAAAGTCCAGATATAACATTTTAATTTAAATTTTGCATATAGTCTAGGTGTGGTCCTTCTTTCTGTGAACCAGTACTTGAACCTCATACAAAAACCTCTAAAGAGTTGTTGATCCACGAGAAGTGGCTTGCAAACCTTGGCATTCTTAATAAGGCACATAATACAAACAAAAATGAGATAGCAGCAAATAAAAGGAGATAGAATTCTATCACCACAACAGTCACAGTGCCTCTCAAGCTTATGTTCACGTAACATAGACAATACACTGTTAGATTCAAAACCAGATTTCTAGGAAAGAAAAATATTTCACTTATGATCAGTATTGATATCCTACAGTTTTCTCTCTAGTAACAGAAAACAACTCTGGCTATATATAATTATATTCTACTTATGGCTCAAAAGTAAAAGAAACTTTATTATTTGAAATCAATGTATTATTTGTAATAAAGGGACAAGTGTCTCAGAATCAGTGCAGTGACTATTATTAATTTCTATCTATTAAATCAGTGGCTTTAAACCAGTTCCTGAGGTAGGTTTGTCCTTCCATCAGAAACAATACTGAGCTTAACATGACAGCCCTGGAAAGATGAAAAGTAAAGTACAAGACATTTCTGGAGGCAAACTGCATGACAGCAAACAAGCAGCTCAAAAGCATGCTACACCTAGCACCACTTCAGCCAAGAGGAAATTCTTCCCTTCCACGACAGAGCTAAATAATTTTTTTGAGGTGAAACACATGTTGACAATTAAAAAAAAAATCACTCTACGTAAATGGTACATCTTGAAATCAGATAACTTTGTTAAGACACAGTCAGTTATTAAAAATATTTGTGCTATTGTTTTATAAATAGCAGAGCAGTTTGAGTTAAAACTAATCAGAACACTTTCGTTTGTTTTACTTACACATTTGCAATTTTCATGTACCGATGTGAATTCTTATACTCACTTCAGTGCCCTGGGACAAAAGATTAAAATGTGAAAATTTTGTTACTGGGCTTGAAAAAGGTTGTGTAGGTCCAACCACTGAGTGCACCAAACCTCACTGCTAGCTACAGATGTACGGAATTAGCCCACTATTTCCCTAAGAAAAACCCCCAGCAGCCCCTGGAAAACACCCTTTCCTGGACTGAAATGTAGTTTTTCACAGCAGACAGTAAGTCAGTTGCTCAGTGCCTGTGAGCTCCTGGGGTCACTGGCATGTTTCTGTAAGGGAGCCAGCACCACCCCTGCATTCCTGTCCTCGCTCTCGGGGCTGTACAGCCTGTTCTTCTCGATGTACGCCCGCACCGCGTCAGGCACCAGGTAACGAATGCTCTGGCCCCTGCGCAGGGCTCTCCGGATCTTGGTGGAGGAAATATCGTTTGTGATCCACTCTTCCACCAGGTGAATGTTATTCTTGTGTCTCCACAAAATATCCGATTCGTAGATGAATTTCTGAGCATTGTTTCCAGCCCTGCTGATACACACAAGGCCGTGCTTTTCCACAATTTCAGTGATGTCCTCCAACTTCCACAGATTGGGGACTCCAAAGGATTCCAGCATGTCACTTCCACAAAGCAGTTTAACCTGTGGGACACCTTAAAGACAAAATTAAATGAGAAATAGGGCTTGGTTTGGGGCTTGGCAGATTTCAGCAAACTTGACAGGGACATTTCATTTCTTGGCTCCCTCCCCCTCTGTATCTTTGGTTAAGATGAGACAATGGAATGAAATTTTAAAGAAAGATTCAGAGTATATAATTAGTAGCCATAACACAGGATTTTTCTGAAGAAAGGTTATGGGAGTCCCTTCATTAAAGGGGTCTAATGCCTTATGCTGTGGAATCTGAGGGAATAAAGTTACTGAGTGACATCAGAACCAAGGGCCACCATAGAAGTTACTCATCAGTGCAATTCTCTTGAAAGAACAAGGATCATTAACCATCTAATTTGCAAACAAACTTAACTTTTCACAACTGGACTCTGATTTTTCTTTTTAATGGGCTCATGCCTGTTTGGTTCCTGTTTTCTCTTCCGTCCCAGCTTTGTTATGGGTACAGCATCCTGCAGACTATTAGTGACATCAGCAGATAAAAGCTTTTCCTGATGATACCTGAAAAACAGATGTATTTTAAAGATGTAGTAAAAAATTGGGATAGTATGGCCTACCAAAGAACCTCTCCCTGCAATTATCCCAACTGGTTATAGTTACCACCATTCTTAGTCCTTCTATAGGTTCGTGAAACTTTTTAGAGGTTGGCAGAAGAATACCTTAAAACCTTGAGTGTTTCCAACCACTCGCTCTGACAGCTTTCCCAGTCATCAACTTCCACCCAGTCTGAGTTCTTTGTAGCCAGTTTTGCCATAGTCACTCGGTGATTTGCACTGATCAGACCTTTCTTCTTATATGCATCGCCCACTGGTGAAATGATGCCTTTGATTACTTTGTATTTTCCTGTGGAAAAAGACACAACACACAAGAACATGAGAAGTGGTTGAGCAGATGTTACTTCCCCTGCATTGTGTTTCACCTGTGACACAACCACTGTGCAGTGCAATGACAGCTGACAGGCAGCCCAGTGGAAAAACACAGGACACTCCTGCACTGTCAGGGCAGCACAATGAAGGAGTTAGCAAGATGTATTAGAAAGATGTATTTCTGTAAACTATAAACACTGTGCTTTAGCTCATTAAAATCAGTAATAAGCAACACATAAATGAGCCCTCTCATAATGGCCTACATGGTTTTGTATAAGATGTAAACACATATCAGCTTCAGTATCTAATCAGCATTTGCTAAATATCTGTCACTGTCAAACAAGCATTCATAGACACAAAATACTCACCTTAACATATAAGTGTCTGGTTATCAAAGCTATTCCAAATGATATAAATTTGCCATCCTACCTGTTTCATGGAAGTAGTCTTTAGCCAGCTCAAACAGCCTCAGGTGCATGTTGGTGATGGGATTGAAGGACCCACAGGCCAGCAGCACCACTTCAGTCTTCCTGTCAGGATCTTCCATGGCCACTGCTCACAGTGACAGAGCCAGGTGGACAATGTTGGTGCCAGGTACCAGCCACTACAAGAAATGGCATAAGAAAGAGTTACTGTCACTCACTTGTGTTGCCAATAAGCAGAAGATAAAATTTCAAGATCAAATTGAATGCTGTCTTTTTCTTCCATCAGCCTGGCCTGTGACTGTTCATGTGACACTTCCCAGTCCAATTTCTAAGTGATTAAAATAAGAAATTACTGCAAAGAGGCTGCTTGCCCAGAGAGGACGGCGTACTGCCCACTCTGAAGAAAAGCAGCTCATGCTTTTAAACTTCTTGTGGAGAGATTATCTGTCCTGATTGCAGGACAAACTTTATTAAACTTTGCACCATTTTAAGATGCCAGTGCCAATCAACTGCCAAGGGACATGTGGGCAGGGAACTTCCTTGTTAAGTAACTTCCTTCTAGTGCTTAGAGGGAGAAAGAACATCCTGTGGCCATTCCTAGTCTTGCTGCTCTAAACTGCACTGATCCTTTCCAGCATGATCTGTAAAACCAAGACTGTGTCAAATATTATACTGTATTGGATTCTGGAGGAGAACAATGCCAACGTTTCTTCATTTGGGATTTATTTACATTTTCTGAAACATAAAATGTAAAGGGGTAATTTATATAATTCAAGGTGATATGTGGGAAGAGTGCTATGGACTAAAGATGAGAAAAGTCAGTCTGCCTTGTGTTGCAGCAAGTGTTAGGTGTACCAGTGGAAAGGGTGAGAGAAGAATAGTAAATTACAGAAGTTCAGTAAAAGCTGCAGTTAAATACTGGGGGGTTTTCCCCTTTTCTAAAATACCAGAGTTTTGTTCCAATTCTGAGCTTCAGTTTCAGAAAGCTACTTAAGAATTGCTGAAAATGAGGAAATTTCACCATTTGTAATTTAATTTCTCCTCGCACCTCACACACATTTTTGCTTCTGTATCCTTTCCTGAGAACATTCTGGCTTGCCAAGATGTTTTCCCACATCTGGCCTAACAAAGGAGAACTGCAATGGGCTGTCGCTGTTTGCCAGATGTCTGAGACATCCTGAGGAGCACAGAATTGTCTGCCCTTGTTTCTACAGCAGCATCACCACCTGGAAAAACCCCACGAGGTCACCCTGACACCGTGTCTCCCTTAGAGAGAGGCTGAGTGATGTTCACAGCCAAACCGCGTAACAGGACTGTGTGCTAACATCAAACAGCCCGCGGATAAAAGGAACTCTTGCACGGCTTCATATCTGGTAAGTGCCAGTACTTTTCTGTGCTTTCAATAGTTTCACAAACTTTTAAAATATTCTTCATTACCGCAGAGCAGCTCAGCAGCAGAAGGGCTGGTGGTACTTGAAACGCAGCCTTGCCAGGGGCACAGCTAGAGAGTTACTATGGGAACAGGGAGGAGAGGAATTTGACTGCCTTTGTGATGCACAAATCCTTCTTTCAACAGTGCCACATGCTGCAAAACTGAGAAAGGTTGATTATTTCCTTAAAAAAAAAAAGGTGCAAAAAAAAGCAGAAAATATTAAGATGGAAATAGAGTGCCTTTTCGGGAGTTAGTCAAGTGTCCCTTTTCATGCTCCTAATTTTACAGTTCACAGAAACAGGCAATCATTGCCTCAAAAACTCACCTTGCACTAAAAGACACCAAAATATGCCCACAGCAGCTTTTGGGACGGCTCTGGAGCCCCCCTGCCAGTCACCTTCCGGGGCTAAGCAGGTAAGGATGCTTCACTCAATCTCATTTACGTTTCAGAGGCCAATATCTGCCAAATATGTTTATATATCGGCATATATATAGAATATAAGCATGATGTGGGCGTCGCTTCACTAGCACCCTCTGCAGCTCTCCGCCCCCGCGGGCCTGCTCGGGGGTCCGGTCCTCGCCCAGCGAGCAACCCCCGCCGCCGCCCATCCATCCCCGGTGAGCCCCGCTCCCGGTCCCCTCTCGCCCCCTCGGGTGCCCGCTCACGCCCGCTCCATGTGTCCGGCCACCCTCCGCTCCCCGTCCCCGCTTAGCCCTGTTCCTGTCCCCCTGTCCGTCCCCGCTCACGGCGGGGAACGGGCGGGCGGGCCCGCGGCAGAGCGCGAGTCCCGCCCGCTCCTCCCCGCAGGCCGATGGCCCCGCTGCGGAGGGAGGGCCGCGTTTCCCCGGAGCGCCGTGAGGCCGGGATCGGCCGCTGGCCGCGCCCGGGACCGTCCCCGGGCAGCGGTCCTGTCCCTGCTGCCTCGCACGGCTGCGCTCGGGCGGGCTCCTGAGCGGCCTTCCGAGGGGCCGTGCCAGGGTCAGACCTGTGTCACACAGCGGGGCCTCTGTGTTTCAGTAGCTGCTGCTTGGTTTGACACTCGCTTGATTGTGAGTGCTGTGGCTGGTGGAGTTCCCTGGTGAACCGCTCTTGCTGTGAAGATAATTCTGTGCACGCAGCCTGGCATTTCTGTATTTCCACTGCGAGGATCTCCGGGTGTTGTTATTAAACATTCCATCAGCAAGATAGTGCATAATTTTAATATTTAGACTGTTTTAAGTGCGTTTTAAGTTGTTGATACAAACAATAAAATGTACTTTCTCTTAGGAGTGTCATGTAAAAATAAGATTTTCATGTGAAAACAGAAAATGGCTTCGAGAGGAACAACAGAGACCAGTAAACTAAAACAAAACTTGGAGGAGCAGTTGGACAGATTAATGCAGCAACTTCAAGATCTGGAAGAATGCAGGTAATAAAAATAGTTGCTTTCCTCTTATATGGTAGTATTTTTCTTAAGTGGCTGGCAGAAGAAAGTGGTACCTTTCAAAAATCTTAGCGGGGGCTTATTTATTTTTGTGTTTTGCTGTGGCTTTCTGTCTTTAACTTAGGATATTGGTGTCAGTAAAAATTACTTTTAAAAACCTTTATTAAGATTGTTTTATATATCTGAGAAAAATGCAACCAGAAATACTCAGTATATTCAGTATGACTCTTAAAGTTTTAGTAGCTCTTCACAAATCACAATTTTTCTATGGGATTTTTAATAGTGAACAAATAGCTTTTGTGGCTCTTTTGGTTTATCTTATAGATAGATGCCTGTGGGGGGGTTGCATTGTTTTCCTTTTAGTTTGTCTAACTTTTCATGTGATTTTATACTAGTCTTCTGTGGGTTGATACAATTTGAGACAGTGAGTTATCAAGAATGGGCTTTTATCTGTTTTAGTAGTTGCCTTTAAACACCCTGTGTTTAGATGCTTCCTGTGCCTCTAGTTCTCACTTGTCCTAGCAGTTTGTATCTTTTTCAAGAACAGTTAGAAGTGCTGAGGGGAGGTGGTGCTGTTCTGGGAACTGGGCAAGGTTTAGGCAGCAGGATCAGTTATTCCTAAGTGGATGGCTTTGGGTGGGGAGATGGGCTTCTCAGGTAATCCCACTGGCTGCACCTTTGGGCAAGACAGTCTCACCACATGATTTTGTTGAGATCCAAAAATGCTTCTAAGTACTGCTCCAGGTGTGGGGTATCTTGTTTATCACTAGGGCGTTTTCATTATCAGTGAGTGTAGAGCCGTGCAGGTGGGAGGGTGCAGACCCAGCAGTGCATGAGCTGCACAGGAGCAGGGCAGCTGCAGAGGTGGGAGCTCTCAGTGCCTGGGGAACCAAGCTCCGTGCCATGGCCAGTGCCCTGTGCCCCGTGGGGTGTCTGAGGCTGAATCCTGTGATCAGTGTCTCTTCTTGGGTCCTCCCTAGAGAGGAGCTGGATGCAGATGAGTATGAAGAGACCAAAAAAGAAACTCTAGAGCAGCTGAGTGAGTTCAATGACTCCCTGAAGAAGATTATGTCTGGAGATATGACTTTGGTGGATGAGCTCGGTGGCATGCAACTGGTAAGGACAGTGTGTTGCTAAAAAACTTCATGTTCTGCCTGGAGTTGATGAAACAGCAAATACATACAAGTGATTCACTAGAATTTTTATGTGAAATATAGATCTATGTAGTGAATGTATTTCCTAATTTAATACACTTATATATGTAAAAAATTTGGATAGGGGAAAAAACCCACTGATGAATTACGAGCGTAACATTGTAGGAGATTAAGACCTGGACAGTAATGAAAAGTTTCACAGCTCTTTCTCAGTCTAGTTACGTTAATTAAAACATTCTTTAAGCCCTCCATAAAGGTAATTTTTTAAAAATTTCTCTTCCATGGTTATGAAAAAAAAAGATGAGCTCTGTATATCAAATGATGCAGAGGATACTAATGATGCTTTCCAGGCCTCATTAATGTCGTCCTGCTGCTGTAGTTTGTGATTCCTGTTAGTCCTGGTCATTCTTGCTCTTCTCCTTGCAGGCAATACAAGCAGCCATCAGCCAAGCATTTAAAACTCCAGAAGTGATTAGAATGTTTGCAAAGAAGCAGCCGAGGCAATTGAGGACAAGGCTGGCAGAGGTGAAGGCTTCTGTTTTACTGCAAAAGCTGTTTATTTGAGGCAGACTGATTCAAGTGTGTAATGACTGCAAGGAAAGCACTGAGTGTGCTGGAAAACTTGGTTGTAAAGTCCAAAAGAGATGGAGAAGTTCTCTTTCAGTATTTGTTCAGTTTTAAATGTTTATTGAGGTAATGGGGGCAGCCATGTGTATTTCTTGAGTTACCTTCTATCTTCTTGCTTCAAAGTAAAAGTGGGATTAACAGAGTGAACTGAGGAAGCTGCAAATAGAAAGTCTGTCATTGTACTGAGGGCTGGAGAGTGCACTCGATGTTTCAGAGATCTAAGTTGAAGGTCCAGATAAAGTAAAATCAAATGGGATTCCTCCATGTACCAGGGATGTGTGAATACATAATTTTAAATTATTATCATTCTTTGATGAAGTGAGATCCACGTTTGGAGAAATCAAGTGAGTTAAGGTTAGGGGTAAAGAGTGTTTGCTGAATGTTCAGAAAAACTTCAGAGACATCCTTTAAATCATAGCTAGCTCTGTCCCTTACTGCTGTGGGTCCATGACTACTGTTGATATATTTAGGCTGTTGCATTTCTCATGCTGTTGTGTTGGGTGAAATAATGGAAGCTTATATTTTTTGTCTCTTTTTCCCCCTGGTGTGCAGATGGACAGAGACTTAATGGTTGGGAAGTTGCCACGAGACCTGTACACCCAGCAGAAACTAGAAATCCTGACTGCCCTCAGAAAGCTTGGTGAGAAGGTAAGGGGTTGGTGTGATAGTCAGGTGAGTAGTTTTCTGCCTGTTTAGGAGGAATTAGAAATAATTAAAATAAGAAATTACAATTTTATAAGCAAACAATAAAATGCAGCTTGCTGTGACAGTACATAAATGTCCTTCCATTTTAATGCCAAACTTCATTTGAAGATGAACATGTATCAAATAGTTTGGTACCTTTCTATATGGCTGTTTCTCCTTTTAAATACTTCCTTTGGTGGGCTGTATGCATGAGTCACTCACCAGCTGGTACAAAGTGATGGTATTTATAAAAGCTACAAAACAAGTCTTTTACTGGCCATCTACCACCAATTCATCAGGAACTATTCAATACCTCTGACATGCGTCCAGCTTCACTTTTATAGTGTCAGTTGTGCCTATCCCTGGGTATGAGAAAAAGAAATTGGAGAGGTGAGTGATAAATTCATTGTTGCCCCAGTGATCCATCAGTGGCAGAACAAGCCCTGGGTTTGCCACCAGAGGGAGGAAGAGAAGTGACTTCTCTTTGTGGATGGTATATGAAGAAAATGGGTTGCTGTGTATCTCTGTACTTCAGCTTTTTTAGGAAATGAAGGAATGTCATGGAAAAGATCAAGTGCAGTACTTAAAGGAGCTGCAATCCAAGTAATTTCTAAAGCCAAGGCTTTTCCAATATTTTATTGCTTGAGTGTCAGAGGAAAAAAAATGTTTTGCAAATATGTAAAGGCTAGTTAAGATTGTGAACTTGAAGCTATCTAATCCTCTTGGAATGAGTTCCTTGGAACACAAGAGGTCACTTCACCACACTCTGACCTATCCTCTTAACCTTTTGAAATGATCAGTAGCACAGAGGGCTTGCCAGGACAGTAGTCTCACATCTGTTCTGGATGTGAACAATGACAGCAAATGCTGCCTGTTTGTCTGCACAACACTGCAAAATGTTAATTAGCTGTATGCTTGCTAACAAAGCCAGCAAAGACAGGGAAGTAATATGTGTTCCTTCATTCCAACATCATCCTGAATATCTGTACCTGATTTTTATATTTCTAATAAATAAACTGACGCAAACACTGTGAAGGGTTTGACACACATGCTTTGCTGTAATAAAGATGTGTATCTGAGGCTAATTAAATTACTTTCAACTTAGCATATCTGAACCTTCCAAATGTAGGTTACTGCTTCATTATTGTAAATATTTTATGGGCATCTGTCACAAGGCATCAGAGCACATACATAAAAGTAAAATATACGTGGGGAAATGTCACTTTAAAGGAAGAGAACCATTTCTAGGTCATTGGTTCTTAACATGGTCAAAGCTGGCAGTGACTGCTTTTTTTTGCTTTCCTCAGTAGATGATAGGAAGTAAGCTTAGATCTTAGTTCTTTATTGTACTGACCATATGACAAAAATGTTATTGACACCTTGGCACTGTTCAGGTACACAGGTACAGTGTGACCTTTTAGTAAAAAATTATTGCTGCAGAACTACTTGAAACTTGCATGTGCAGGCATGTCTGACACTGCACATGCTGTCCTGCCTGGGCTGACAGGAGCCAGGGAGGGAAGATTCAGTGCTGAGGAACTAGCTTCTATTTTTTTTTTTTTTTAAGTTTTAAAGCATGGTAGATAACACTGCCACTTAAAAGCTGCAAATGGACAATTGCTGTAACCTGTCCTAGCTCATGTAGATGCACAAGTAGATGGTGGGAATATGCACAGTTAAGGTATCAGCTTCACATTTGTGGTGTTTTTTGATTTAGCTCACTGGTGATGATGAGATGTTCTTGTCAACAAATGCTGGTACAGCCCTGAGCCAATTTGAGAGAGTCTCCACTGACCTTGGTAAGTTTTCATTCTCCTAACTTCTGATTCCTTTGCCTCATTGAACACTGATTAATAGCAGTATGTCTGGTTCCCCTTTGGAAGAGAATATATGAACAAGAGATTCATGCCATTAAATGAATGAATATGTGTGTGTATATATATATCTATATACATATTCATTTATATATAAAAATATATGTTTTATTAACAATGAAACTCTGATACACTATTATGAGAAAAAGGTAACACAACAAATAAATCCAGTGCCAAACGTCCATGAAATGCCAAGGGTGTCCATCATGCTGAAGGCTTGAATAGTCTGTCTCAAGCAGAGATGCTGCTCTTAGAATTAAACACAGATCTTTTTTGCATTAAAGTCTCTCTTCGGGAGAGCTGTGTCCTCTGCTTGATGCAGAGAATTTGGCAGTTATTGGCACATTGTCAAAATACAGCTTTAAAGCAGTCTTCCTGCCATGCTTGTCATACCTCTGACTGTATGACAAGATCAAGAGTTGAGTTACAAAAGACATTAAATAAGCACACAGTTCATTGTAGTAGTAGTTAAACCTGGGATAAAGAGCTATGAATGGCAGGAAGGTGCCAGACTAGCTCAGGGTACAAATAAACTGTCTGAGTGCCCTGCCTTTCAGCTCTGCCCTCCCTGGAAGTGTAAGCAAGGTGAGAACCCTCTAGTTCAAGAGAGTTCTGTGGGGGGGAGTGTTACCAACACCATTCCAGCTACAAACACAAAGCACAGCTCTGCAGGAGAAGCTGGGGAAAGGGAGCTCCATCCCAGCCTAGACCTGGCTGCTCTAGACCTGGCAAGCCTGTGTGTTGTTTTGGTTTTTTTGTATTAGCTCAAGTGTTGTAGTTTTCACAATGTAGGTTTGATTTCTTTGGATCTCAAATGTTTTGCTTGATTTAAATTGTATATAAGGTGATTCACAATTTCCACTAATACTTACTGAAAATGCTTTTTCCCCCTCAGGATCAGGAGACAAAGTCTTTGCTCTTGCAAGTGTTGAAGTAGAAAAGGCAAAACAATGAAGAGGTTCGTGAGGCTTGTGTCTCCAGTTATCAGCAGCACTGGATTTTGGTCATACTGTGTTTGGCTTTTCTATTTCTTACATGTTGAAAAAAGGCAAAGCAAAACAAAAAACCCAAGCCCTAAATCTCTTGGGTCCTTAACCAGAAGATATGAAGTAAACAGCCTTAAGTGCACTTTGGAACCTTGGTGTCTGTACCCTTTAAGTAATACAAGCTCTGAGGCTGAACACTAAGTGGAACTCTACAACAAAAGCATGGTATGACTGTCTTTGGAAAGAGTCAGCTGTTTTGAAGTTTTCTGAATGTGTATTTCTCTAACTATTAAAACTTAATCTTTTTGCATGTGGTTGTAGCAAGCAGATCTTTTTACTAAGTGGTCCTCATAATTTTTTTTGGGTGATTCTTCACATTGTCTTAATTCTTGTGTGGACTCCCCACTAAGTAGTTTGTACTAGGAAAGCATTGAAGCTTTGGAAAATGGATGTAGTTTATTGAAATGCCATCTTTCTACAAACTGTTTGCAGAAGACCCAGAATGACCCAGATGCTGATCACTGGCCCTTGGCTGCTTGTTTGCCGTGCCCATGAATGAGCACTTTGTGTCCCAGCCCTGACTGAGGACAATGGCAGCCCTGTGGGGAGGCTTCTGGAGTCCTTTAACCTTGTGTATTGGAAGGACAGGAATTGATAGGACATGGCAATGAGATGCTCTTCCGTGGCTCTGCCTTCAGCTCTGGTGTGTAACTGCACTCTGCTGTTATTTCAGAGGGGGCATGAAATAGCTTTCAAGTAGAAACAAGTTTTAAAAGGGAGGGAAAAGCTCCCGTTATGTGATCAGTGCCAATGTTGTTCAATCCCAGTGTGGTGCTCCTCAGAGGAGGGTCTGTGTCTCCACTGGTCCTGCACTAACTTGGCTTAGGAAGGTTTCAAATCTCATGTAGTTGAATTTTTAGCTCAGAGACTAAGTGGGTAGCATTGACTATTAACAGAAAATTAACATGTCAGTCATCGTTTAGAGTGCACTTACAGGGCATAAATGCCCTATAAATTAGCAAGTTTGTCTAATTATAAACTGGGACTGGAGTAGACTAGAAAATGTGTTTATTGACATATTTTGCTTTAACAGATATACTTTTGACATCTAGCATTTAAGAAATGAAAGGATACATGATATAGATAGCATAATTTGTTTTTCACTGATAGAACTTCTTTCTCCCTGTTATTAGAAAGCCTTTATTGAGGAGGGGTCTTTTGTCCATTCCAGCAGAACTATTTTCCTGTCTGGGACAGCATTGTGTTCTCTCACAAAGGCTGATTGCAGCTTCATAGCTGAGAGCAGCTTATTAAAAGGCATTATTGGACTCTGAAATTGTGGGAAGCAAAACAGTCTGTGGGGACTGGAGCTGCCTTCTTCTCCTTTCTGCTCATTACTGGTGCTCAGGAGCTCTCTCCCCATACACCCCAGTGCTTGCAGCATTATTATGTAAATTAAATCTCTCAGCGCTCACAAAAAGTTTACAGTACAGTGACGTGGAAATCTTTTTCCTTGTAGTTTGAGAGGTGTAAGTTTCCAGGAGAAACTTTTTTAAATTGGTTTGTAAATATTTCAGGATTTTTGCAAATACCGGTACTGCGGGCAGTTGTAACATTCCAATCAAATTGATCCTTGACTGAACATCTTTCCAACGTCCTGCTGCTTCTGCTCTTGGAAGGATCTCTGGTGGTTTAGGTGGACAAAGATGAGACTGAGATCAGTACCAGTATTGCAAGATTCAGTGTGTGGGTCAGACTTCTCAGGAGCTGAGAAGGGTCAGGAATCAGAGCTCTGCCCAGAGACTGGCTGTGTCCTGCAGAATGCCCTGGCCATAAATGTGATTTAACAAGGAAGCTGCTGCTGATGTGAAGCTAATCGTGTGTTGACCCTCGCAGATAGTTAAGTAACCTCTTGAAATAGTTAGACTGATTTCAGGTATAGTAAGTTAATTGGTGTGTTGTGCTAAATATATTGCTAAATAATCCTGGGGTGTACCTCTACCACCATCTCAAATGTTTCTGCAGGGAAAAAAAAGTCCATAATTATTTATTATACTAATGATTTCCTCAAATAAAAACTGATAACAAAAGAACAACTGCTAAATGAAAGCATGGGTTTGTGTTTAACAAACAAGCTTGTGATGTGTGAGTTCCATCCCCAGTTCAGTGTTGGACCTGGGCAGATCACTCATTCTGTACACATCTTTCTTTCCTGGAGTAAAATACAGATTATGATCCTTAAATATTGAGTGCTGTGAAGTTGTTATTGATCATACATTGCTTTGAAGATTAAAAGTGCTTTGTTTTTTGTTTATCATTTTACTTCTGAAATAAGAACTGTAAAGTACAGTAGCTTTAAACACATCAGCAGAGTTCCCAGAGTCCTTTTTTGGCCGTATATAACCTCCTTTTTTTAATCTTCTTTCTCTATAGAGTGAATTCAGTGATTGTACTGATCTGAAGGAAAAAGTGTTAGAAAATTGAAGCTTCAAATATTCTGTCTCTCTTTCTTCTATCTTTTTCTCCTTGTGTTATTTCCCTTCTTTGATCTTGAACGGAAAAGTAGCAAGTTACCTTTGTGTTGAAGAAAAAATACAAGATTTCTTAAGAGATCCTTAGTTTCTCATGTTACTTTGCCTGTAAAAGTCAAATTAATTTTGATAGAGAGCTGTGTGTAAATGACACCCTGTGGCCAGGCAGTTCAGGTTGTCATGGCTGAAATGGGATGGATGCATGATTTTGATGGATTTGAATTATCAGACTAAGTCTGACATATAAAATATTAACAAAAGAAAAAGAGTCCTTCACTGGGTACCACACACATCTTGGAGAGAAAGAGTTTTCATTGTTGTGCGTGTTTGAATCCTGGATAATGAAAGCAGGGATTGTGTGTGCAGATGCTGCTGGAAGCCCTTAATGAGAGGGGGATGCCAACAAGTACAGAGGGGCTTGGAGGGTGGAAGCAGCTGTGCTGTGATGGAATCCTAAATGAATTTCAGAGCTGATTAAGGAAGAACTGGAGATCAGGGAGGACGGGGTGAATTGAGAGAAATTTTCTAAGTCAAGCAGGGATTCGGAGGAAATATTTCGTGAAGTTTTGGCTTACTAGAATAAACAGCAGCCTCATTAAACAAGAGATTAGGAGCTATTGAAAAGAAAAATCCATTTAATCTGATAGATTTCTGTAAAATAATATCAAGTCTTTATACAACACATGTAAAAATGTTAGACTTAACCTTTAGATAATTAAACTTCTAACATTCCCTTGCTGAGGGTTAGGTCAAGCAGCGTGAGGATTGGGAGGGTAACTGATTTGATCACGTGCAGTTCCCTGTTCTGTTTGCTTTGGGAGGCTCTGTGCATTCCCATGAGACATGAACAATATTTTACTCTATCTCTTGCAGAACTAGCGTAGTTGAGAGGCCTCTTGAGCATCCATCATGTCTTGTGATGAGACAGTGACTGATGGCAAGATGTCACCTTGCTTGATAGTAAACGTCTCGGTAAGCTTGAAGGGAATAAACTGAGGTGGGGCAGGAGCTCAGCTTTAAGAAAATAAATCTAAAATTCTCCTAGGCTAGAGGAAGCCGTGTGGTATCTCTCCCTGCTAAAACCTTTCCGAAATAAATGCAGGATGTTAAATTGATGATGTGTAAGATTGCATTGCACTGCTGTACAGTCAGCCAGCTGAATTAGGAGAGCTAGACGGTACTTAGTCATAAAATGGTGTTGTGCCCATGATGTTATCAGTAAGGAAATTCATACTATTGCAAGGATGCAAATGATGACTTAATTATATGCTCCCACTAGCATAAGATGCTTTTAGATCTTTCCCTCAGACTCATGTACTGTGCTAATTAACAGTAATCCAACTGGAGGATCCCAGTGCAATGCTTCTGCATATTTTTTTCAGCTTATGCTGGAGCTCTTATGTTCTTTTCTTAAATAATTAATAATCATTACTGCCTGCTGTGCTGTGGGTATGTGCCAGTGATCTCAGATCCCAGCACATTTGCACCATTCCTGTTCCTGTCAGAGGCTTGGGTTTGCTCTTTGCAGAGGCTTTCATGTTAAGCCCTTCATTAGCTGGCAGTGGGGTTTGGATTTCAGTGGCATCGGGCTTTGATGTCATTAAGTATCAAGCTGTTAAAGGAAGTGCCACCTATTTCATTACTGTGACTATCTTTATGCAATTAAGTTAAATACCGAGTGGAAAACAGATGAGTTTTACTAAATAACACTTGGTTCACAGAGCATTTTCATCTCCAGGAATTTTGTACTTGCCTTTCTGCCTCACCAAGGCACCCTGTGAGGAAGCAGGGTTACTGTTAACCTAGTGGGAAACCATGATGCACATGACTGGTGGAGAAGGCTGAGGAGCCTTTGGTGGCTTCTGTCTTCTTTGGGTTTTAGTTTTAATTCATTCCTCTCTGTGTTCACTGGGATTTTACTCTTCTTCCGTCAATGTAGATGAAGCATTACTTTATTTTTTGAGTGCTTCAATGACCAAATGACCACTGATTCTATTTGGAGGTTGGCATTGTCTGTATTGGCTGAATTAGCTCAGGCTGTACTGGATGTTGCAGTGTCTTCAACTTTCTTAGCGCGGTGTTACCCAGCTGCCCCGCCGGGATGGATCTCGGGCGGGCCGGGAGGGACAGCAGGAGCCCCGGCAGGGGTGCTTCTCGGGTGAGTGCGTGCCGCCGTGCCCCGGCGGAGCGGGGTCCCGCGGGGGGAGCGCGGCGGGGCCCGGCGGGAGCTGCCCCTTCCCCGGCCCGCCCGGCCGGCCGGAGCTGCCCCTTCCCCGGCCCGGCGGCCCCTTCCCCGGCCGTGCCCGCCAGGCGGGAGCTGCCCCTTCCCCGGCCCGCCCGGCCCCTTCCCCGGCCGTGCCCGCCCCTTCCCCGCCGGGCCCCGGTCCCCGCCCCTTCCTCCCGGCCGGCTCTCGGGTGCTGCCTGCGGCGCCGCCGCTGCCCTGGGCGCCGGGACGCGGCGGGTCCCTCCCCCGGAGCCGCCCAGGCACCTCCCTCGGGCCGCCGCGGTGAGTCACGACGGAGGAGGAGGAGGAGGAGGAGGCGGCTCCGCTCGGCTCCGCTCCGCTGCTCTCGCCCGCCCGTGCCGAGCGCGCCCCGCCGCCGCCCGAGCCGCCGGAGCGCCGGGGCCGCCGGCCCCGCACCAGGTGAGCGCGGTGCCCTTTGTGCGCGGCCGGGAACAAAGGCGCTCGGCCGGGCCGGCTCCGCTCCGGGCCTCCCCGCTCCGCGCTGCCGCCCCGCCGGCGCCGCTCCCCGGCCCCTGGCAGGCCCTGGCCCCGCGGCGCAGGTACGGGAGGTGCCTTTTCCATTTTCTGGCATCACCCCTGCCGTCACGAGGCGCCCTGCTCCCCGCTGTCCCACCCCAGGCATGGCCGCGCTGCGGCGGCAGCTGGAGCGTTCCCGGCGCTGCCGAAGGTGCGCTGGGCCGGCAGGTGCCAGCCGGCGCCGGGGCTGCTCGGGGCAGCCCGCCGTGCCCTCGGCATCCCGGCCCTCCTGCCAAAACGCCTCTCGGACAGCGTTTACTGAAGGGCTTCCCTCGGGGGTAATCCTGCCTTGGCTAAAAATGGGGTTTCTGGAGCCTCTGAGGCAGCACTCGGTAACTTGCAGTTTATATGGACGGTATTTGTTGGCACACGTTAGTTTTTTACCTGTTGGGAAGATACGTGAGAGAGGGACAGCATCACCCTCCGGATAAGAATGTATCAGAGACAGATGAGACGTGATCCTCGCTTCTGCTCGGTGTCCAGATGTGCTTCATCAGGGCACGTTTGCCTCACAGCCTCAGGTTTGCTTTCTCTTCCAGAAGAGAATATTTTGCTCTGTTGTATATCATCTTTTATTTGTCCATTCCTCATCTTGGCATGTTGAACAGGATGAGCTTTGATGCTCTGTGAGATGAGCCCGAGACATTCTGCAGATGTGAGGATTAAAAAAAAGAATCAAAACACCAAACTCCAGCAGACTTTGGAGGCAAGTTAGTTGTGCTAGCTCACAGTCCTGGCCTAAGCTGGCTCCAGTATGGTGAGAGGCATGATTAGTGAGTATTTAAGAACATATTTTTCAATACATTTACAAAATCCTACTGTATTTTTTTTTTTGGCTGCTGAACTTACAGGCTTTCAATTTCTTTTGGCCTTGGTTATTTTTGGAGCTCATGTGTGATGTGAAATAGCCTGCTGAAGGAGAGCCTCTATGTAAATGGTGAAAAAATGAGGCTGGACATGTACTTCAGTAGGGTTTGTTCTGAAAGCACAGGTATTCAAGGTGAGGGAGCATACAGAAAGCTATGTATTACTCTTTCACAAATACAGGCTGGTTTTCTTATCAAGCTACAAGCTCATTTTGCCTTGACAAACAGATTCATCTGGAAAAGGGTGACAGGTGTACTTCAGATACATTTCTGTTGCTTCACTGTGCCCTTAGCTGGAAAAGCATCATCAGTTATTGTATCTTTGGCATCTTGGGAGAAACCAGCCGCTCCCTCAGTGCAATTCAGAGCTGCTGGGGATCTGTGTGCTGTCTTAGTTGATGTGGCACACAATACTTCAGTAGGGTTAATTGGAAAGCACAGGTATTCAAGGTGAGGGAGCATACAGAAAGCTATGTATTACTCTTTCACAAATACAGGCTGGTTTTCTTATCAAGCTACAAGCTCATTTTGCCTTGACAAACAGATTCATCTGGAAAAGGGTGACAGGTGTACTTCAGATACATTTCTGTTGCTTCACTGTGCCCTTAGCTGGAAAAGCATCATCAGTTATTGTATCTTTGGCATCTTGGGAGAAACCAGCCGCTCCCTCAGTGCAATTCAGAGCTGCTGGGGATCTGTGTGCTGTCTTAGTTGATGTGGCACACAGAAATAATAAATCTATGAAGAAGTGTGTAGGACTGAACAACTGCAGGAGCAAAGGCCATTTTGGAAAACTTAATTGGTAGTGAGTTGGACCCAAATCTGCTTTAAAGCAGTTTTCTCTTTTGGTTCATTGTAAGCCTTGCAACAAGTTATGGAAAAGTTACACAGCAGGAAAGTGCTTTCAGGGTTCTTCTTGACCTCCAGGTGGGAGTGCAGTGGAATCTTCAGCAGGGAAGCCATCCCCTGGGCTGGCAGGAGTCCCTGTGCCAGCCCCTGTGCCATCAGCAGCGCGGGGGCTGCCCTGGCAGGGGCTGGGGGCTGTGGGTCACGGTGAGCAGCAGCCCCTGGCCCTGTCTGAACCAAGCAGTTACTGCTGCTGTCACCCCACCATCCTGTGGGGGGCTCACAGTGAGCAGCAGCCCCTGGGCCTGTCTGAACAAACCAGTTACTGCTGCTGTCACTGACAGAGTGTCCTGTGGATTGCTGGGAAAGCGAGTTCTGAGTGCCAGGCTTGTGGGAAGTCTGGAGCTGTGTCCCCTCTGCTGCCTCCATCCTTCCCCCTCCATCCTTCCCCCTCCAGGGTTTGAGAGTGCTTCGCTTCGCAAGAGGACAGAGGCGTTTCCAAAGCAGTTTGTGTTGTTTCCTAAACAAACCAAAAGTGAACGGAAACAAAACGTAGATTTTGTCACTGCTAACAATGACTGTGATCCGTATCTGCCAAAAATTAAAAATCGTCCTGCAGTTGCATGTGGGCAAGCAGAGCTAACACCTAAGAGTGCCTGATGTGGTTAAGCTGTCAAGGTTGATGCTTTGCCTAGGAAACAGCTTGTCAGAAATAGATCTATTTATATGTGTTTAATATAAGTTTTTCCTCTCCAAAATGTTTGTCATCTGTAACCAACACAAACATTTATGTTTTTTACCAAGTATTTCACTTCCTAAGTTGGTTGTTGACTACAAAGCACCCTCCTGAGCATCTGACCTAGTTTGAAGCATCAAGCATCCACCCAAGTGCTGTGCACAGAAAGGAAACAGGCTTTTGGAGGCTGCTGTTCGAGATGCTGGGAGAAACTTCCAGGAGAATTTTTTCCCAAGAAAAAGGATTTGGTATCAGAAATGTTTCTATACATGCAGAGGCAAAACTGTACTTCTCTCTTTTACTGCACGCTGCCATCAGATTGGATTTCCTGCTGAAATGCAGCAGGGACAGAGGCAGCTGTTCCAGTGCCCCACCATCAGGTGTGCGGGGCAGAAGTGGTTGGGAAAATTGCAATCCTGACAAATGTGCCAAATGCTTGAGTTCTGGGCTACAGCTATTGTGTGTCTGGTCCCAGTTTTGATGGTGATGTGCACCAGAGATGTAAATTATTGGAACAAAACCATTGTTACCACATCCAGTGTTGGTAATTTAATGGTCTTGCTTCTAAGTACAAGGGAGAAATTGTATGTAATGGGTTTGAAATGTGCTGGAAACTTTTTACCAAGTAACTTCATTTAGGAAAAAAAAACCCAAAACACTTTTTTCAGTGTTATATCTCCAAGAATGGAGGACTGTTACAGTTCTTTTTCCCTTTGAAGAGCTGTGTCCTGTCCACGAGCATCCATTGGCATGGGAGTGCAG